GTAATGCCTCTCCTGGATGGAAAGGAGTGGAATATGGTTTGGTACTTCTGAAACAAGGATTAATTTGGAGGATAGGAAACGGGAAATCAATGAAAATTTGGAGAGATCCTTGGTTGCCGAGGGAGTTTACTAGAAGACCAATTACAGTCAAACGACATTGTCGTCTGAAATGGGTTTCAGAGCTAATTGATGAGAATGTTGCTTGGGATGTAGATAAGGTCTCTCAATACTTTTGGAATGTTGATGCAGAGGAAATTTTAAAAATCAGACTACCCTATAGGGAAACGGAGGACTTCATATCCTGGAACCCCGACAAGAACGGCCGGTTCTCGGTGAGAAGCGCCTATCACCTTGCAGTGAGGCTGGCATCCAAGGATGAGAGCTCTTCATCCTCTTCAATTTGTGCAAAGAATTCTTGGGATTTAATCTGGAAATGTGAAGTTCCACACAAGGTTAAGATCTTCTCCTGGAGAGTAGCCACAGACAGTTTGGCAACGATGGAGAATAAAAAGAAAAGGAAACTGGAGATGAGTGATTCCTACACCATCTGTGATAGAGAAAGAGAGGATACTGGACATGCTCTATGTCGATGCAGTCATGCCAGGAATCTTTGGATGGAAATGGCCAAGGCAGGAAATCTTGTATCTGACATTAATTCGATCAGAGGGGGTTCTTACTGGTTCTTGGACTGGTTGGGGAGAGTTCCAGCTGAGGAGCACCCTATGATTCTCATGATCCTTTGGCGAAATTGGCAGGTTCGTAATGATATAACTCATGGGAAGCCGGCTGCCCCCGTGTGGGCGTCAAGGCGGTTCCTGGAAAGCTATATGTCAACAATTGTCCAAATCAAGCAGAATCCTGGTGCAAATTTGAAGAAAGGGAAACTGGCTGTTGGTATTGCTAAGCGGGCTCCTGCCCCTTGCTGCTCTGTCAAGGATGTCCCCGTGTCGTGGGAGAAACCACCAGCGGGGTGGATGAAACTGAATATCGATGGATCCTTCCATCCACAGGAGGAAACAGGAGGAGTAGGAATGGTTCTGCGCAACAGTTCAGGAGAGGTAATTTTCTCCTCTTGCAGGTTTTTGAACAGATGCCAGGAGGCGCTAGAATCTGAACTTCTTGCCTGTGTCGAAGGACTTGGATTGGCACTCCAGTGGACGATTCTCCCCATCGTCATAGAGACAGATTGCTTGACAGTGGTTAATTTGGCGCTTTCAAAAGACCAAGATCGATCTGTCTTCTCGCATATTGTCAGCGAGATTAAATGTTTGCTGGAAGATGAGAGAGGAGTCACCATAAAGAAGATACAGAGATCCCAGAATCAAGCCATCCATGTTTTAGCTTGTAAAGCTCGTGGTGATCACATCTCTGATTTTTGGTTAGAAAATACTTGTAGCATAATATCTCAGATTCTCTGTAAGGACTCCTCTGGTTGAGTAATATATCTTTGCTCTTCCCCTCAAAAAAAAACAAACGAACTTAAAATTTGACTCATACACGGAATTATATTTTCAAAAGCTAACGAACTAAAAAACCAACTCAAACACGGATGAGACGTACCAAAATACCGGCAAAAACTTCTTCAACTTTTATAATAGTAGAGAAAAATGTGAAGACTTGAATTTGTTCTGCATGACATTTTGACTTTAAGTTCTCAAAGATCTTTTTAGCGAATTTATGCATATAAACTTTTTTTATTATGCAGATCAAGATGAGAACACATGATCTATGTACCATACGTCCACAAGTGTACTAATTTTAACTATATGGACACTAAACTCTATTTTTAATTTTATTATTTTTATTCTAGATTTTAATTAATTCCAAATTCCTATATACACTCTATACTTTTCTTCTAATATTTATTTTTTTAATTCTGAATTTCTTTTACTTTTTAATTGTATTTCTATATGGACACTATACTTTTCTTCTAAAATTCTTTATTTTTAATCCCAAATTTTAGTTATTTATAAATTGTATTTCTATATGACTCTAACCTCAACTTTTAATTTTATTTTTTTTTCTAATTTCGAATTTTCATTAGTTCTAAATTATATACTTGTATGGACTCTATTTTTCTTGTTCTTTGATTAATAGGAGAATTTCTAGGCCGTGAGAACTAACATGGAGATTCTTTTTTCTATTACTTTAATAAGTTAATAGATTTGCAATTAAGCCCCGTAAACTATAGAAGAATTCATAAAATTAACTGCGCGGCGGCAGGGTACACGGTGGCGGATACCCCCTCCTGCTGGCACACCGAGGGGGAAGCTGCACGAGATGGTGTTGAAGGAGCAGGAGGAGAGCTCCACCGCCTTCGTCGAGTCCCCCCTTTATCCCGCTGACAAAGCTGGGTCCAAGCCTCGGCATGTGCTCGTCGCCTCCTCGGGATTCTCCGTCAACGCGAGCGGTGCCGACTCCGACAACGGCGAGGACCGGAGCAGCGATAGCAGCCAGCAGGTCCTCCACTGCCATGAGCGCCCCTCACCGCCACGACTCCTCGCCCTCTTCCTCGCACTCAGTGGCAGGCGGTGATGGGGTCGAAGGGGGGAGAGAGAAGAGAGAGAAGGGAGGGAGCGAGAAGGAAGAAGGAGCGAGGAGTGGATGACGTGTGGGTCCCACGTGTCAGTGGGTCCACAATTTTTTGTGTGTGAATGACAAATGGGTCCCACATATATGTTTTTAACTCTAATGACACCTAAGTGTCATGTCAATGCCACAAACCAAGTCAACACGGCCACGTAGATGCCACGTCAGCGAAACCGTCCTCCAAAAACACTGAGAGAGTCAAATTGCATCGGTTTTAATAGTTGAGGGGTCGAGATATCTAGTATTGTGATTAAAGGATACGAATCATATCCAAATCTTATTCCAATTTAAATTATGGCCTTGCTCGGTTGTACTTGCTGCAGCTAGCTACAGCTCATTCCGCTGCAAGCAGTAATCGTTGGTCTTGTCACTTGTGTAGTTGTGTTTCTGGCATCCAATGAAATCGGCCAAGCTGTGGGGCTTTGAAACTTTCCTCATAAAAATAGAACTATGAATCTTCAATTCAAATTTAGCATATTTTGGCTGGTTATTCCGGCCGGTGCTGTCATTGGCTTCGAACTGATTACTAATATTTTGAACGAATAATGGGCCACCACCTTATAATAAGGCCTTATTGAGAAGCGCTTCAGTATAGCCTTCACAAATGCATGGCCTAGATTGCTTTATGTTATCATAGACTCACAGGTAAGCCTCTACGGAAAAATCAGTAGTTTCCACATGTCATCCTTCTCTCTACTTTCCTCCCATACCTTTCTCTTCACCTTTCCTCCGTCTCTCTTACCTACGGGCGACTGAGAGACAGCGACAAGCGGTGATGCAAAGGAGGACGCGGCAGTGGGCAGCGCGATGGCATGGCGGTGCAGAAGTCAATATGCTCTCCACAAATTCATCGATGCCGACGCAGAAGGAGGATGGCAAGTAGACAACATCGAGAGGTGGGGGCAAAGAGGGCGGGGGGGGGGGGAGGGGGGAGGGGGGAGAAGCTTGACAGCTCCCTAACCAGAGGGTACCTCGCGTAGATAGAGATGGGAGGCGGCGGATTTGGGGCCCAGCAAGACTAGTCGGCGAGGGACAAGACGACGGCGTCACCGCGGCTGCAACACCACCACCACCTCGATGTTCGTCGCTGTGCATTGGCGGTGCATGCTCCAGCTCCTTTTTGTAGCTAGTACATCACGCCCGGGGGTGTACCCCCTCTTCCTCAGTCTCCACTGCCCGGGGCAACAACCTCGTCATCTACTTCCTCATGGTGTCCGGACAGCAGTGGCGTCGACGACACCCCATGCACTCGCGCGCTCCGCGTCCTCCTCCCAAAACTTGTGAACTCTACACCATCTCCCCTATCGTGGAGGTGGCGCAGTTCTTTGCCGCGACCACTACTCCGCCTCCACCCGTCGGTTTCACTACTTCCTCCCACTATATTCTGCCACCCTCCCTCCTCCTTTCCTCAACGCTCCTCCTCTACTGTCGCTCCTACCCCCCACTCCACTCCCCACTACTCGAGCCGCCTTCTCTCTCTTCCGCTGTCGATGCCAAAGCGATCTCCTCCCCATCCTTCCACCTCCATCCTCCCACGTCAAGGGTGACCTGCTCCTCATCCCTACCCTCCCACTTAGCCCTTGATGCCGTCTTCACCCCGCGCTAGCCCTTCAGCGGCTACGAGCTAGGGCCCCACGATGCTGGCCGCCATCGTTTGCCGCCTAGCAAGAGAGAGGGGGAAGGGAGAGGGGCAAAAGTATATGAGATTTTTATGACATGTGGATCCCACCCGCTGACTTAGCTAGTCAACCATGGTCAATATGCTACATGAGCAAAAAAACACCTTCCAAACCACCAAAGAAGCTGATTTGCACCGGTTTTTAAAGATGGGGGAGTCATTTTACCCGGTTTTGTGATTGAGGGAAGTGATTCAATCAACAACCAGAGATGAGAAAGGCAAAATAGACTTACTCCTATGGAAAATTTATTTGACGCATCTATGCCTCTGCTCCAGGCCTTTCCATGGCCCTGCAGACTTGTAGGCCCAACATATATGGAACATTTTAAAGTTTTTTTTCCTATTACGTGTTTATAATAGTTCAAATTTTGAGCCGAAAAGTTTCTAATTTGGGTTAGTGTTTTTAAAATTTCAATTTGAAAGTTCTAAATTTTAAGTTAAAAGTTTCAAAATTTATGTTAAAAGTATTGAATTTTTAAATAATGAAACAAAGAAGTTCTATTACAAAATTTTACTCGAATTGAAAAAGTATTAAAAATGACTTAAAAATTGTGAACCCATACCCATTCATCGGTTTTCCTTTAGATTCGTTACAATGCATGGGCATGTGACTAGTAGTGTATATAACACACTAAAATGGTACTTAAACTTAATTAATTAAACTTGTAATGTTGTGTCATCTATATTTATAGCAGTATATAGGAGTACTCTTTAAGAAAAAACAACACAGAGAAAAAAAAAGTTCTCCATGAATTTAATGCCAACATATCACACTGAACAAATAAAATAAAATAAAATAATTCAAGTCTTCACATTTTAAAAAATAATTCAAGTCTCACTCGATCAGAGTAGACTAGCACATAATCAGCTGCCGCCCTCATGACGTAACGAGATATATCTGAACACCCGGATTATTACCCCCGCGAGATCATTCATCAAATTCAAATCCGGACTCATGTCGTCCCTACCCAGATGGCCCGGTCAGCGACGCCGCTTTACCGAGAGAAGCCGCGACACCTGACAACCCAGCTTGGTACGGCGCACCGAAGGCGGCGTACATGATCGCCACGGCGGCGACGGCCATCACCGTCGCCACGAACAGCACCGCCGGCCGCTTCCCCCGCTGCCCCATGATCCCCAGCGCGAACGGGTAGAGGAGCGCCAGGATCCACACGTTGAACACCATCCCGAGCACCGCGAACCGCCCCTGCTCGGTGAGCAACCCCCACGCCGCTGCCTTGCCGACCGCCACCCCGACGGCGCCGACGTTCACGGCCAGGACGACGATGGTCGGGATCAGCAGAGGCACCCACCGCACGGTGTACAGGTCGGCGAACTTGTCGCCGGAGCTGGCCGTCGTCTGCTTCGACGTGAGCCTGAAGTGGATGCCCTTCCCGGTGAAGAGCTTGAGCGCCATGTACAGCACCGCCGTCGGGTACACCCCCGTGGAGCCGATCATGTAGAACTGCTCGTTGCGGCACCAGTCCAGCACCGTGATGCCCGACCACTTCACCTCGAACATGCCGATCACGTGGATCATGGCGATGATGGCGACGAGGTAGAGGAGGTACTCGCCGAATGGCTGCTGGATGTAGTACTGCTCGGAGATGAGCCACATCACCGGGAAGAGGTTGTAGAAGAAGATGAACACGGTGACGATCGGGTAGGTCGACATGTTGAGGTAGGCGATGCGCTGCAGCGGGTGGAGGCGGCGGCCGGCGAGGAGCGCGTTGCTGTGGGAGAAGAACATCTCGAGCGAGCCGCCCGACCACCTTAGGATCTGGTAGAGGCGCTCGGTGAGGTTGATCGGCGCCGTGCCGCGGAACGCGGCGGGCTCCATGGAGGTGTACACGGAGCGCCATCCCTGCTGGTGCATGCGGAACCCGGTCGCCACGTCCTCCGTCGCGATGTCGTACACCCACCCGGCGTCTCTCCCCCACGACGTCCCGAGGTCGTAGCCGCACGCCGTCACGGCGGCGAGGTCACGGGCGACCGACCCGTCGATCGCCACGGGCGGCGTGATCGACCGTTCTTGGTTGGCGCCGTCCAGCATCGAGCTGACTAGCGTCGACGAGGCGCCGAACTTGTTGGCATTGTCCATGGCCTTGATCTGGCTCCCCGCCGCCCCCCACCGCGGCGGCTCCAGGCCGTAGAGCGCGGCGCGGCGGAACATGGTGCCGGTGCCGAGGTAGGAGGGGCCCTGGAGGCCGTTGAGGGAGAGCGTGGTGCCGTCGAAGAAGACGCGGTTGTGGTTCGCGTACCGGTCCGTCGGGTCGACGTCGTCGAACCGCTGCGGGAACTGGACGAACGCCACGTCGTCGCCGCCGCCGCGCCGGTCGAGCATGAAGCACATCGGCGCACGGAACGCCTGCGAGTTGTTGACGTAGTGGTCGCAGTCGAAGTTGATGATGAAGGGCGCGTTCGACAGCAGCGCGGACACGCGGAGCAGCGCGTTCATGGCGCCGGCCTTCTTCTGGTGGTTGTACCCGGGGCGCTTCTCGCGCGAGATGTACACCAGCATGGGGAGCCGCACGTCCACGCCGCTGAAGTCCAACGGGTTGTCAACACTCGCCGCCACTCCAAACCGTGGCTTACTGGTGGGATGGTTCAGTAAAACCTGTCAAAAACACAAAGAAAACCACTCACTTTGGGGAAAGTCTATTATATTCTCGGAGGGAATGTCTAGGTTGTGCATGTTGCCTCAAAGTTAAAAAAAATTATATTTATACTGCATTAAAAGATATTAGTGATGGTGTCTAAAATCTATTATATCTATAAAGTAATAGAAAAAGAAGCCTCCACGTTCGCTCTCACGGTCTAGAAATTCTCACATTAATTAAAAAATAAGAAAAAAGGAAAAATAGAACTAAGATTAGGATTAGGATTAGTTAAAAACTAAAGAAAGGCAAAAAAAACTAAAAAAAACTAAGATACTTGAATCGGACAACAGTCAAAAACTAAAAAAAGGAAAACGGAATCATACTAATATGCTTTCGTAGGATACAGGAAACGGACAAGGTTTCTTTCGATTTAGAAAACGTATCAGACACTAATTTTGAAAACCGTGTGAGACACTAATAAAAGACAGACTAAAAAAAAATCATCGTCAGATTCATGCAATCTGAATTGTACACAAATTACATGCCATGGTAATATATAAATAGTACGCTAGAAATCTTCTCTCCACAATCCACCGCAACAAAAAAAAAGGAAAAAAAGATTAAGTACAAAATAGTGATGAAACTCTGTACGAATCCGACTTTTAGCGATGAAAAAAATTGTGAGATAAAAGCAAGTGTTTCAGGAAAATAGCAACTAACTGATGCTCTAAAATACCATAGAGCTGAAACGATATCAAAACAAGAAGGCAAACTCAATCTATTATCTTAATAAAGAAATAGAAATAAAAAAGGAGCCACCACTCTCATAGACTAAAAATTTTCACATGAATTAGAGAGAAATAAAAATTCTAATATATGAAAAAAGAGCCTAGATGGAAAGTAATAGAAAAAGAAGCTACCATGTTTGCTCTCACGGCTTAGAAATTCCCACGTTAATCGAAGAAAAATAAAAAGTAGAGTCCATATAGGAATACTATTTAAAAATAGCTGAAATTCAGAATTAAAAATAAGGAATATTGAAAGAGTAGACAAGAGTCCATACAAGCCTACAATTTAGAATTAATTAAAATTCGGAACTAAAAAAAATAGAAAAACTAAAATTAGAAGTTAGAGTCCATATAGAAATACAATTTAGAAATAACTAAAATTCAAAATTAAAAAAATTAAGATTGGGAGAAGGTCATAGTCCGTATATGAATACAATTTATAAATAACTGAAATTCAAAATTAACAAATAAGGAATACTGGAAAAAAAAAAGTCCAGCGTCCATATAGGAATACAATTTAGAAATAACTAAAATTAAAAAAATAAATATTGAAAAAAGAACTCTAGAGTCAATATAGGAATACACTTTACCAACAATTGAAATTCAAAATTAAAAAACTAAAAAATATTGAAAGAAGAGTTTAGAGTTCATATAGAAATATAATTTATAAATAACTAAAATTTAGAGTTAAGAAAAAATAATATTGGAAGAGTAGTCTAGAATCCATATAGGAATAGAATTTATAAACAAAGGAAATTCGAAAGTAGAGTCCATATAGGAATACAATTTAAAAATAGCTGAAATTTGGAATTAAAAATAATGAATATTGAAAGAGTATACTAGAGTCCATACAAGCATACAATTTAGAATTAATTAAAATTCGGAATTAAAAAATAGGAAAACTAAAATTAGAAGTTAGAGTACATATAGAAATACAATTTAGAATTAATAAAATTCAAAATTAAAAAAAGTAAGATTGGGAGAAGTGTCATAGTCTATATATGAATACAATTTATAAATAACTGAAATTCAAAATTAACAAATAAGAAATACTGAAAAAAAAGTCCAGCATCTATATAGGAATACAATTTAGAAATAACTAAAATTAAAAAAATATTGAGAAAAGAAGTCTAGAGTCAATATAGGAATACGGTTTACTAATAATTGAAATTCAAAATAAAAAAAATATTGAAAGAAGAGTTTAGAGTTCATATAGAAATACAATTTATAAATAACTAAAATTCAGAGCTAAGAAAAAATGAATATTGGAAGAGTAGTCCAGAATCCATATAGGAATATAATTTATGAACAAAGAAAATTCAAAATTTAAAATAAGGAATGTTAAAATATGATTCTTGAGTCCATATAGAAATATAATTTATAAATAACTATCACATATATACAATACAATAAAAATATCACACATTTGTTAGTTCAACCAAGAATTTAAAATTATGTTGTCAATAATAAAATATGAAAATATTTAAACTATTGTATGAGAAAAAAAATCTAACAATGCTAGCCGTGCAATCTGCGCGGGCCGCCATGCTAGTTGTCGTTAATGTTACAAGCTGCCATGTGACCATAAGGTCCACACGTAAATATTATTTTTAGATATTGCATTATATTCTAATCCATTAACTATGCTATAAACTTGTATTTTTTTTTGTGTTTTCTTTTATCTCTTACAGTATTTGTTGCAATGTAGGGGCCTTAGCTAGTTTTTTTTAAGTAAGTAGATCAATATGGGATATGATATTTTACATACTTGCAAGTTTAAACTGAACTTATATAAGAAAAAACAAAAATAACAAAATATATTGATTCTAAATAGAACGTGCAATTTTTAGTCAAATCTATTACTTTTATTTCTTATTGTATAGACTAAATTTGAACTGGTGTGTTTGTGGAATAATATGTCACATATTGATCTATCTTATTTATTTTTCTAAAAAAAAAGTTTAATGTTTTTTTAAATGATATGCACTAAACGAGACGAGGGACACGTCCCTCTATGAACAATAGTCCATCTCCACTCGACAAAATTTGTCGTCAGAACAAGATTATAAGGGCAACCTCAATGTTGGGTTGCTGAATGAGCAGATAGCTTTAGCTATATCTATCTCTACAATGGTTATGGCCTTGGATGAGAAACAAGCCGGGTCCCACTGGGTCCCATCAAAGAAGAAACATACCACCAATTCGCAATCATATGCTGATAGGCTCCATTAGATATCATTTTTTAATCTCTTAAGTTCAACTGTAAGGTTAGAGCTGTTTTTAAGCATTTAATGTCTTATGTCCATGTCCACAATGTATATAGCTGAAAAAAAGTCTTAAGGCTCACTCTTATGGTCACATTGTGGATGCCCTAAACAGAAACTAAAATGCAATAACTCTGTCTTTAGATATTGGAAAAGGAATAAATTCTCGCTTCATGCGTACGTTACGTACCTGAACAATCCCAGCGTGTTGCCCTTTCCGGTGATTCTCCGCCGGCTCAAACCATGTGCCGGGCCAATGCGTCCCATCAGCCATCCATGTCGCGTTTTCACCGTCATCTTTGCCATCCTTCGCTCTGTTGTACGCGTCAGATCGCTTGCGAATGGTGCTGAACAGCGAGTCGATCCTGACCTTGAACTCCTCGTACTCTCGCCGCACGCGGCGGCGATCGCTCATCAGCTCGCCGGCGACGCCGCCCCTGTACGCCTGCGTCTTCATCGCGAAGTAGCTCTCCGGCGCCCTCGGCTCGACGCAGTGCTTCCGGCAGAAGGGCACCCACAGCTCAGCGAACTTGGCGACCTCCACCATGGCCTCGTAGTGGACCAGCGTCCCGCCGTCGTCGGACAGGTAGCAGGCGTACCTGTCCACCGGGTAGTCGGCGGCGAGGATGGAGAGGATGGAGTTCACGGTGTAGAGGATCGGCTCGTCGACGGGGTCGACGGTGGTGACGAAGACGTCGACGCCGGGGAGCTCGCCGCCGCCGGAGGTGCCGTGCTGCTGCCGGTCGGCGAGGGCGGCGAGGTCCGCGACGCGCTTGATGGGGTTCAGCTTCGGGAGCTGGTTGAGCGCCCACGAGAAGCCGAACCAGACGTCGCCGGCCATGGACATTGTCCACAGCCACGCGCCGTCGCGGTTCTTGTGGCGTACGCGCCACGCGAAGAAGGCGACGATGGCGATCAGTCGAACTAGGATCAAGAACCTGTTCGTATATTAGAGAACAGCATAAGGGCAACCAAAATGAATGCTGTAAATTAATCACACTTTATTGATTCGCAATTAATTTGTCTAAGTTTGATTATAAGTTTATAAGAGTAGTTAGTAGTATTTGACATCAGTGTGGGCCCAGGCGGTCAGACCTGTAAGGATGCAGGATGCTGCCCTTGACCTTGTACGTCCGGAACAGCGTCGGCCGAACGCCATCGCCGCCGCTGGGCCCCGACACGTCCGCCTCGTCGACGGCCACCCACACGTCATCCTTGCCGCCGCCGTCGTTCACCCGCTTGGCCGCCGGCGAGCACGGTGCCGCCGCCGCCGCCACGTAGACGCCGGCCGCGCCATTGCCGTTGGTGACCTCGACGCGGAGGCCGCCCGCGTTGATCCGGCGAGTCACGGCCGCCGCGGACATCGTGGAGGCCGTAGCCAACTCCATGCACGCAAACGCACCTAGCTAACTACGTAAGCTCCGTGGCGAACTGGTGAACACATCGTGGTGGCTTATATAGCGCGGCGAAACGACATGAGTTTAATTAAATCATCGTCTCACCCTGCCTGGTCAAAATACTGCTGCTACCTACGTGGTACAAGAGAAGCCGCCACTGTCACAGTGCAGCAAGCTGATGAGCATTTTTCCTCTCTGCAGCGTATGTAATTTTCGTTCCTCTCTTTCGATCAAACTCGGCAACGATCGTCGTGTTGGCGATCAAAAACCACCGGCACAAGGTCACCAGTCGGGCGCAGAAACTACAGATTCTCGGTTCTCCTCTAGCAGCCAAGTCAGCTGATCGTGTGACATCTTCAGAAACAAGGAAAAATAAAACGTGTACATCTGCACCAGCAACAGTAGAGACCTACTCCATCTAATTTATATTACAAGACATTTTTAGTTTTCTTTAATTTGATTATATTGTGGAATAAACGTAGTAGCAACATCTATAACATCTTTCATTAAATCTAACATTAAATATATTTTGATACATTTTTATAAAAAAAATACTTCAACATTTTTCTATAAACTCTGCTTTGACTTAAAAAAAATCAAAACATTTTATAATACAATAAGGAAGGAGTACCTAACAAAATAAATTAATATGCAATATATCATTCTCTACAAACATATAAGTTCAAATTTAAATTCAACATGTTATAACAAATTAAACTCTAAGTAATATATTTGTAGTCAAATTTGTCTCTTTTTTTTTACAATTTATACTAGTTGAATTTAAATTTAATATATGCTTGTTGAATGCTTCCTCCGTTCAAAAACTATTAGAGATTTAGATGGATGTGGCAGTACATCCTAGTAGTACGAATCTGACCACTCAAAATATAAGAGATTTAGGATGGACGGGGTACATTCTAATATTTCGAATTCGGACAGGAACCTGGCCAGATTCCAAAGTCGTAATGCTAGAATGTGTCTCATCCATCCTAAATCTCTTATATTTTAGGTGACCAGATTCGTACTATTAAGATGTGTCACATCCATTCAAAATCCATTATATCTTGAGATAGAGAAAGGAATATATTTCATATAAATCATTCTTGTCGTTCTTTTTTTAAAAAAGTTATAATCACCTTAGTTTATGTGTAATAAACGAGTGATCATTCACTTGATGATTAACTCAGGTGATTAAAAAAGATAGAGATAGGCTGCAGCTTCCACGTCAAAATCATAAAAACAGCTGGAACGAAAGGTACGGGAGAACATAGTGTTGTCCACTTGGACACGAACAAAAAACCGAACCGAGTACGTACTCAAGTTGTTACTAATTACTACTAGTATATATATCGAAACAAGTGCATGGATTATGCCCAAAATTGTGCACGCATGTGTTGGCCTTTCTGAGTTCTGAACTCCTGATGATGTTATCAAGCGCGTACGTACGAACGTACGTACGTAAGCTCAAATTTTCAAAAAAAATATTGCCGGGTTTTGTATGAGAAGACAGAGTTAAAACATGTGTACGTACCTAGCTGCCGTGCTGGTCAGAGGGGAGGAAAAATAAAAGGGAGAGAGGTCAAGGAGAGCATCGATCGAGTATATATGAGACAGTGATCAAGTGGTGGACAGCCAAACTTGATGGGGATAGCAACGGTGAAATGAAATCAGCAGCTGACGAGCTCGCCCACTGATACTCTAATAACTTTTTTTCGAGGGGAAGATACTCTAATAACTGAGATGTTCCATTTGAGTTATTTATTAGTTTATTTATGTTTCTTTGGAAAGAACCAGCGGAGTTGTTTAAGTTTTTCTGAGGAAGGGTTAGCACAAAAGAAAAGAGAGAAGTCTGTACTTTAGTCCGTAATTTCTGACCAAATCATGCCCGTTGAATATAGTGTTTCAGCAAATCCATATTAACTAAGTGCAATTTGCTCCGAATCAGTTCGTGTGCTTCCTAAACCTGCCTAAACTCACACACATACTCTCGTTCTTTTTATTTAACACTTTATAATTGGTGTCCTTAGACATCTAATTTTTTTAACAGTTCATCAGATTCTTTACCAGCAGAATTGGACACATGAAAGCTACACCACTTGATTTGTCATTATTGCACAGTTCTTGTAACTTGTTTAATTAGAGTTAGTAATAGGTATTTCTAAATAGCGGTCTAAATTCTGTTCTGGAGAACTAGAAAGGTGAAAAAAAAATCAAAACCGAATAGCATAGACAGATATATTGGATTTTACTTTTGTCTGCTTTGAACCAACAATTCAAATTCCTTTCTAAGGAAAAAAAACAAACATAATCAGAGTTAGATGCTTGTCGAATGGTAAAGCATTTTTCAGTGTTGAGCGGTCCACCGTATTCATTTAGATCCACTCCAAGTGTGATCTTTGTAAAACTTACCAGAGAAGTTACATTGAAGAGGGTGACATATCTTTGCATGTTCTACTGATTACCAATATCCTAAAATCGATGCAAACCACGAATTAAATTTAAAAATATATTGTTTATTTATAATTTTCTTATAAACATTCGGGATACAAATTTTTTTACAAAAGTATACCATCGTCGCTGGATGAAAGCGCGAAAACGATACGGTATCGCTGATCCACTATGCGAGAATGACGTGGGGTGACGATGCGCCACGGTTTCGTATTGGTTAGCCGCGAGAGCGTACGGTCTCGCACATTGCTTGTGCGAGACCGCACGGCATGGCTGCGACAGGGCCAATAATTAATGTTTAATCACATTGATTAGCGACTAATTAATCCCTAATCATCATTAATTAATCACTAATTATGGTAATCAATCACTAGTTAAACGAAACCATTGGACAACACATTCGGTATCGCTGTTTCATTATGCGACATTGTTTCGGTCTCGCTCTTTCCTTTCGCGAGACTGTTCGGTCTCGCTCTTTTCATCTGCGAGACCGTGCGGTCTCGCACCATTGCTGTGCGATACCGTCCGTATCGTCATACCCACATCATTTTCGCACAACGATCGTGTGAGATCGGACGTATATTTCTGCCAAAACAATTGTATCCCGAATATTTTTGTTAAAAAAATAAATGAACAGTATATTTTTAAATTTCTTTCTGCAAACCACCTGCTTTTATATTTACTCATGTGGTTTTTCTATATGTTCAATATGAAAAAGATATAGGACATGAATATATAAAGACAGTTGATGGTACATATGAAAGTTCTCATATAAGGGAAGTCCAAAGAAGTAAAATTGAACAGACTCAGAGTTAGATGCTTGTTGAATGGTAGCATGCATCTACAGTGGTAGCATTTTTTCAGTGTTAAACCTCACGGTCCACCGTATTCATATAGATATAGCCCAAGTGTGGTCTTTTTAAAGTTCACCAAGAAAGTTATATTAAAGAGGTTGACGCATCCTTGCCAATTATACCGATTACCAACATCCTAAGATGTAAACCACTCGCTTTTCTATTTACTCAAGTGATTTTTCTATATGTTCAATATGAAGAATATATATGACATGAATATGTAAAGACAGTTGGTAATACATATGAAAGTTCTCATATAAGGTAAGTCCAAAAATATTTGACACAATTGGATTAGTTCAAGAACAATATTATTTATTACAAAAGTTAAACAATACAATCTTTTATCTATGCACCTAGAATGGAATAATGTTTGCTAGTAAGATATGGGTAGCAACATATACAAGGGCAACAATTACAAAGATAATTGGCAACAAAACAACAAGAATGATTGACCTCTTTGCCCATCTCCCCATGATTGCTAGTGCAAATGGGTAAAGGAGAAACATAACCCACATGTTGAATAGGAGTCCCATTGCAGCATGTCTCTTCTGTGCTATCGTCCATACTCCCATATATACTGCCGTCTTTCCAATAGCTACACCAATGGCACCGATATTAGCAACTAAAACTACCATTGTTGGGATTAACATGGGAACCCATCTCATCTCATATAAGTCAGCAAATTTATCGTTGGTGTCAGCGGTTGTTTGCTTTGAAGTGACTCTAAAATGTATACCCTTCTTTGTGAGAAGATTGACCACCATATGAAGCACAGCTGTTGGGTAAGCACTCGTTGAGCCGATCATGAAGAACTGCTCATTGCGCCAATAATCTAACCATGTGATCCCTGCCCACTTTATCTCGAGCCATCCGATCATATGAATCATCAAAATGATCACGAGAAGGTACACCACATACCTAGTGAATGGCCTCTGAATATATACTTCATCGGGGATAAGCCACATCACAGGGCTGATAGCATAGAGTAAAATAAAGAGTGATGTCACCGGGTAGATTGTCATATTGAGGTATGAGACACGCTGGAGAGGTTGGAGCCGACGACCTCCAATAAGTGGGTTATTGTGGGAGAAGAACATCTCTAGGGATCCACCAGACCAACGTACAATTTGGTGAAGACGTTCTGTTAGATTTATAGGTGCAGTGCCACAGAATGCATCATGCTCCATGGTGCAATACATGGATCGCCAACCTTGCCCATGGATGCGAAAACCCGTGACTATATCTTCTGTGGCTATGTCATATATGTATCCAACACCCTTGCCCCAATCGGTTTCTTTGTCGAATGAAGCTGACACAACCATCTCCAGCTCATTGACAAATATGTCATTGACCGGTGATGGTGTAGCAAATCGGTCTTGGTTTAGGGCTTCTAACACTGACTCTAATAAGAGTATGGAGTTACCAAACTTGCTAGCTTCAGGTGTGATGTTGTCTTGTCTCCAATGAGGAGGATCAATACCATAGAGAGCTAAGCGACGGAACATGCAACCAGTACCAAGGTATGAAGGTCCTTGGAGACCATTTAGGGCAAGCATTGTGCCATCAAAGAATACACGATTATGATTGCCATATCGGTCTTTTGGGTCAACATTGTCAAAGCGTTGTGGGAACTGAACAAAGGCAGTATTATCACCTTCTCTTTGGTCAAGCATGAAACAAATTGCTGCACGGAAGGCTTGAGAATTGTTGATGTAGTGATCACAATCAAAGTTGATGATGAATTGTGCATTGGAGAGTAGAGCAGAGGCACGAAGTTGCGCATTTAATGCACCCGCCTTCTTATTATGATCATAATTTGGGTTCTTTCCACGAGACACATAGACAAGCATCGGGATGCGCACATCAGTGGCATTAAAATTAAGATTGTTGCCCGTGCTATCCTTCAGGCTAAGATTGTGGCCACGGATGGGATGGTCCAACACAACCTGTTCAAATTGACAAATATGTAGGTCATGTTAATGGAAAATTTATGGTGAATCCACTTAACAAGGTAATTGCGGATTGCACAATATGATATTATCCCCTTAGTAATACATTAGAAAAAAAATTAAGGTGGAGTTATGTACCTTAACAATTCCAGCATGGTGTCCTTTCCTGTGATTTTCTATTGGCTCAATCCACGTGCCTGGCCATTGGGTCCCATTAGCCATCCAAGTCGCATTTGGTGCTCCTTGATCAGTTTTCATACTATTGTAAACATCTGATCGTTTACGAATAGTCTCAGGAAGTGCTTCCAATCGCACCTTGAACTCATCATACTCAAGATGCACAATCCTAGAGTCATTCTTGAACTCCTCTGGTGCACTTCCAGTATACGATGGTGCCTCAAGCTCAAAGTAGCTCTCTGGGGATCTAGGCTCAATGCAATGCTTCCGGCAAAATGGAACCCATAGAGTAGCAAATTTGGCTGTCTCAACCAATGCTTCATATAGGATCAATGCTCCACTATCATCAGAGAGATAGCAGGCTGACCTATCAACAGGGTAGTCAGCCGCAAGAATAGAGAGAACACAATTCATGGTGTATAGAACCGGTTCGTCGATTGGATCAGCGGTGGTGACGAAAACATCGATGCCGGGAAGTCTGTAGCTTCCGTCGGCGAGATCACAGTACTGCCTTAGGGCAGTAAGGTCAGGTATGGTTTTGACCGGATTGAACTTTGGGAGTTGGTTAAGTAGCCATGAAAAACCAAACCAAACATCACCGGCGACTGACATTGTCCAGAACCACATTATGTCAGAATTATTGTGCCTGATCCGCCATCCGAAGAAGAGGAGAACGGCAATCAAGCGTGCAAAGATCAGAGCCCTGTAAGAGATTAAAAAAAACATGATCCGACTGTAGTTAATTTCTATTGAAACGAAGGCTGAATTTTATTTATTATCTTAAAAACAATTATTTCTAGAAATGCAAGTAAATGCACATGCCCAGGTGACCAGAAAGGGTAAATATTCTTGATCCAATTATAAGCTGCAAAGACATTATTGGAAACATGAGGCCGTACTGTGGGTTACTACGAGTCAACGGATTAGCACTGAAAGAAATCCGGGAGCAGAATATATATCACTCACGATCCATCCAAATGATCAACGTGCTCATTGACTTGCATATATATATACTTCATTCTACCAACTAGAAAACGCATACATTCCCGGCTTAACTAATTTTTAGATACTCCCCCGTTTCACAATGTAAGTCATTCTACCATTTTCCACATTTATATTGATGTTAATAAATCTAAGCATATATATCTATCTAGATTCATTAACATCAAGATAAATGTGGGAAATACTAAAATAACTTATACAGAGGAAGTAACAAAAGTATAGCGTCCAGATTCTGTATCTAGCAAGCTCAGTACTAATAATAATCTTTATGCATAAAAAGATTTTCATTGCAATGTCGCTGATTTTTCGATCGTACACTCGATCGGATGTACGTACCTGTACGGGTGCAGGAGGGAGCCCTTGACCCTGTACGACCTGAACAGCAGCGGCCGGCGGCCGTCCTCGCCGCCGCACTCCTTCGCCGCGCGCCGCTCCCCCTTATCGGCGGCGGCCCAGTGCTTCCCCTTGGCGCCGCCGCCGCCGCCGCCGGCCGCCTTCCTCTCCGCGCCGCCGATGCTGCTCGTGCGGCTCACTAGCAGCGGGTCGATGAGGCTGCTGCAGCCATTGCTATCCTCACCACCGCCGGCGACCGACGCCGGCGAAGCCATGACGAGCACTCTATAGAGCTCACTGGCAAGCTTAAGCCAGTGCAAGTGTGCTGCCCTACTGGTACTTGAAGCTGAAGAGAGTGTGCAGATGCACCATGTATATATAGTACTGTACTAGTGACTGATCGTTGGGTTGAATGAATATTTGCGTGCATCCAGATCTGCGTGCGCCGCAACTATCGTCTATCGATTGATCGGTCGCCTCGCCTCACCAAACGTGTTACTCCCTCCATATATTAATTTATATGTATGACGCCGTTAATTTTTCAATCAATGTTTGACCATTTATTTTATTTAAAAAATTTATATAAATATGAAAATATTTATGTCATGTTTAAAGAATATTTGATGACGAATTAAGTCATAATAAAATAAATAATAATTATATAATTTTTTTTGAATAAGATAAATTATTAAACGTTGAAAAAAAGTCAACGGTGTCATGCATTAGTACGTTGCTTCGTCTGAGCACTAAACAAACCACTGGTGAACAAAACGTGCAGCAGAATGCATAAGCATGTTGCGTCCATGTGCCTGCAGGCTGACCCAAAAAACGCACTTGTCTGCAGTGCTTTGCATGCATGCTCTGTACTGTCTTACGTCTTGTCAGGCTAATTAATAAATATCGCCATATGGTTACTTTGGTTAAGCTGCATTGCTAATCAGCTGTATTAACTGTGCCACTGTAATATATAAGCTCAGGTTATTTGTGAAAGTCAACTTTTGCCGCCTTAATTACGGCCTGGTGTTACTCAGTCGTCGTCGAGCATGTGGGTGCAACGATCAGATCGATGGAGATGGATCTACCTATGCAAGTTGCAGTTAAGCAGAAGTAGCTTAATTAGATCACCGTGCATGCATGAGAGAGAGATCGATCCAGTGCGAGGGGACGATCAGAAATCTGGCAGCATAGATTTTAATTTGTTTGGTTCTCTCGTGTTTTTGTTAAACAAATCAGAAATCCAGTATGATTCTCTCTTGGCAGATCTGCAGAGAGTACTGATTTTGGTGCATATAAGTTAGTTTATACATCAATGTGTTGCATGTTGTGTGTTGATTTTTTTTTTTTACTCATAGAGATCTGGTGATGCCGGTTGTATATACTACTGGAATCCAAATTGATCTCACAGAACTGTGGGGAGATAAAATAAATGGCCAGATCTATATATTGATCGAAATAAGAGTTCACACACTGCTCGGAGAAGCATCTTTGTGGTGAATTGATCTATGTACTACTACTCCCTCCGTTTTATGTTTACTACTCGCTCCATTTAATAATGTAAGTCATTTTAACATTTTCACATTCATATTGATGTTCATTAACATCAATATAAATGTAGAAAATACTAGAATGACTTACATTATAAAACGGAGGAAGTACTACTCAATTCGTCTCAAAATATAGCAACCTAGAATTAAATGAGATACATCCTAATACAACGAATCCGGACAACACCTAAGACTAGACGAGACACCTCCTAGTACTACAAATCTGAATAACATATATGATCGGACGTGAGACACATTAAATTACTATGAATCTGGATAGGCTCTGTCCAAATTGAGTATATCCAGATTCACAGTATTAGGATCTGTTTTGTTCGATTTTAAGTTGCTATATTTTGGAACGTATGTAGTAAATTAGAAGACATATCCTAGTATGCAAATCTAGATATATTCTATCCAAATTGATCATGTCTAAATTCACAGTACTACGATGTATTTCGTCTAGTTCTAGGTGGTTGTATTTAGGAACTGAGGTAGTAAATCATATGGGTTTTGTTAAACCTTTTAAAGTTTGAAACCAAGTTTGTAAAAAATTAGCAGTATTTTGATATACGAAACAAGCACACTATAAAAATATATTTAATAGTTGATTTCAATGAAACTTATGGTTGGTGTTGTACATATTGCTGCGTTTTCCAATAAACTTAGTAAAAGTTGAAGTCTGAGACTATTATAATATGGAATAGAGGGGTAGTATTCAAATGCTATATATTGTTCATAATTGAGGGTGTATATGCAAGAACATTTTGGAAAGATTTTATATGCACAACGTCATGGATATTAATTATCTTGGACTATATCTCTTGAACATGTGTGATCGATGTGTAAGTGTCACAATTGTGGTAGCATATAAATTAATGTGACGGTACGTCTTTCGTAGATGTCACTTCGTGTACTTTTTTTTCTATGTTTAATGTAAATAGTTAAGATAGTTTGAAAAAAATTGATTGTATACGAATATAGTAATATCTACCACTCCATCAAAAATCTCAAATTCAACATATACATTAGGAGGAAAAAAAACCGGGTATGAATAGTACAACTACTATTTATATGCTGAATTTGTTTTTTAATCTCACTGTGTGAGTTGAGTTTGAACCTTATATTGGTTAATCTTTAGACAATTCGAAACCATTTACGAACTTGAGATTTACAATAGCAGACAAGGCATTATACTAGGGGTGTGTTCGGCACCCAATTTTCTCAACCCATCTCCCTCGTTTTCCGCGCGCACGTTTTTCAAACTATTAAACGGTGTATTTTTTACAAAAAGTTTCTATACAAAAGTTGCTTAAAAAATCATATTAATCTATTTTTTTAAAAAATAGTAAATACTTAATTAATCACGTGCTTATGGACTGCTCCGTTTTTCGTGTTACTGTTTCGAGTTGGGAACCAGCATATGCGAACACACCCTAGTATGTGTTCACAATGGCAGTACTGCAGTTTGCCAGGCATGTGTACATGCATGTTTGAAATTTATGCACCACATTACCAGCTACAGTCATCTAAAAAAGAAATAGATCTGTAGATGCAGGAGTACTGTTAGAACTGTGTATTAAATCAGCTATGATCAGTAGACCGTCTAGTCTGATTTACTAATTACAAGTCCAAACGAATCTTAATTCCTGTTCTTCTGACCTCTTAATTATTATACCAACATGCTCATCAAAACTCGAGAGTCCGACTGATCAGATGCAAAGATTAACCTCAAGGTGAATGTCAAAAAGAACAAAATCATACATGTAGATTGCTATCAGTACATGTCAAATCAAAGAGTGTGTACTTAATTTTTAATACAGTATTAATGGGTGGATCTTAGAGTGTTAACGGTAATTACCTGGTACACCAATCTAGTCCATCTCTGACAAGCTAACATGTAGGCGGCCGGGTTAGGAAACTGAGGGAGATCTAGTTAATTCAGAGGCGACGATGCGTGTGCATCACATGTGTTTTAGCCGTCCATGTGACAATGCATCAAGCTGGAATAATCGATTGGCTGATACAGCTAATACAAGCCAAGAAGTCGATGGTTTCTAGTGTTAGTCTTTCTTTTTAAAATTTTGAGATGAGTTTTGGTCATTTTGCTTGGCGTTAATTCCCTAATCACGTGATCTTGGAGAGACGAGTTAGAGCAGGTACAATAGCAGGCTATAAGCCGGCTATAATCATATATCGAGAAGAAAGCGGGCTACAGATTTGTAGCCGGCTGTAATACGGACTTCAAGATGTTATGTGTGTATGAGATGTGGGACCGGGTATTAATGGTGTAGTATATTTTTATAGTTAACTATTGTATGAATGAGCTATTAGATTGGCTATAGATGTTTTGGAGCCAGAAGTTGTCTATACTATTGACCTTGCTCTTAGGCGTACTAATGAAGGCATTAACTAAAGTTCTTACTAGTAATATAAACTCGCACTTCATGATTTTGGTACACGTGAGATACGGCCCAACACGCTCCCCGAATCCCGCTCCGGCCCATTCCTGGTAATCCCCGTTCCGGCCCAAAAGAAGGTGCTATATTTAGTTGGGCCGTACTCACGACATCTTTTTAGGGCCGAGGAAGATTTCCTTGTCCGCACTCACTCCGCACGTCGTCGTCTTCCTCTCGCCGCTCCAACCCCAGGACCCCCAGGTACGCGCGGCGCGCCTCCTCTTCCCCTCCGCTAGCTCCTCTCGAACTGGTTGCGCCGCTGCTTTCCCCATTTGGTTGACCTCCGCGCGGCGGCTGACCAGCCTCCAACGCGTCATGCCGGGGTTGTTTTTTTTTTTTTTGGTGGGGGTGGGGGTGGTGGGGGGGGGGGGTTGGGGGTGGCTTTTCGTTATGTTTGTTAGCTCACTAGCCGTGTGATTGGATCATTGGAAATCTGTAATAGCAGTGTGGTTAGCATATATTTTCTGGGGGATTTTGTGCCGGAGTCCGCCATTCGGCTGTTGGTTGCGCGTCAATGGGGAAATCAGTACATTGGCTAGTACTCCGGAAAATTTGGCATTGAAGAGAGTTTTGCGAATTGGTTCTGGACTTCCCACGGGAACTACAAGTGATTTCATCATGATATAGAGTAGTACCAGGATGGCCGGATGGGATGGTTAACTCTACCATGAAGTTGCCAACTGCTAGTAAATTTAGGTGGTGTTTTCAGACAGTGAGGAGTTGGGGGGGATTCGGAGATCCACTAACTCATAAAAAAACTCGACCGGCGGGGGAATGACCGTCCCCGTGGCTTTTCATTAATAAGAACAGGCCTCAACCAAACTGGATGAGAAAAGGCATGAACCCTGCACCCCCCCCCTCCCCCCAACACCCCACACGCGGACTCGCCCCCTATGGATTGGTCCTTAACCTGTACTTTGAGGCTCCTTTCTTGTACACAAGGCCCGCTCTCCATAGGTCGATTCATAACATGTGTTTTTACGAGAGGCCAGCGAGTAACATTTTTTTTAAGTAGGCCTAAAATTCGCTCTCGAGGAAAGTCGAACCCAGGATCTAGAGGTGCTACTTGAGCATTGTGACCGCTAGACTACATGCCCTTTCACAGGCCCACTTGCTCATGCTAGAAGAGTCGTTGAACGCCTTCCTCCTTGGTTTGTGTCTTGGTTCTACTGTCTTGCTAAAATCCCAGTGATTTCACTGCTTCAATGAACTATTAAAGGAAAATTAGAAGTTCGAATAACAGAATGGTGAATTGGTTTAAATCAAGGTTTGAGATTTCGGATTTGTGAGTGGGTCCCAGCAGAAAATGTCTCTGGCCAAAAATTCCAAGTTTGTATTTATTTAGCGAAAAGTTG